CTCACACAGGGGCTGGTCCGGTCCAGTAAAGCCCATAACCAGCTCTCGTTAAGAGCCGAGCTGGAATAAAGACCTGCAGAGACACCGGACAGCCCTGATCAAGAACTACTTCTGCACTTACACTAATATACAGGGACCGCAGGGCCTCAAAGACAGCACACCAGGAAGTTCAGTAACACACGCAGAGGGCCGTCAGTATCAGAGCTGGCATTTACCTTAAAGTGGGAACTGCAGTCCCAGTTTCTCAGACTGGTTATTAAGTCTGGGCCGTCAAATAAATTCATTGACGTTATAGAAAAGAAAAGGACAAATTTCGAATGAAGCACAAAATGGTCAACTCCGTGAAAGTACCGTGAGTCGCCATGTGGTCACAAGAGTTCCCCCAAGAACTGCGACGTGATGCGGGCCTTCCTGCTCACTAGTCGCTGTAATGACTAATGTACTGGGACGCAGCAGTGAACAAGTACAGTTTGTGCAGACATATCAGCGCAGAAATGTTCCAACATGACCCGCATGCAGAGTCAACAAGTAGTGTTTGTCGCCATCTTGAAGTCAAGAGCGATATTTCTCCCGGATCAAACGAGCTGGATTCACACGCCTGCTTGTTTACAGCGTCATGGGGCCACTTCACCTCGCCTGAAGTTTTGTCGCCCCGTTCTGAATCACAGAATACGGGGCTGCGCAGACCTGGAAATTTGGTCTACTTTGTGATGGAAATTGGGAGGTTTCACAAGTTACCGAGAACATTTGACTGATCTTGTTATTGCAAATGCCCTCATCAATCCCGATTCTTTCTAAACCCAAAATCTAAAACAGCGTTGCAGCTCCCCCGTAAACAGATCACTGGCCTGGCCGATAAGTAGCTCTAGTATCTAGCAGAGCTCTGGGGAGACTAGGTCACAAGGCCCTGTGACCCTTGAGAACAGCACTGAGCAGCACTCATATTAAAATAGGCTGCACAGTCCTTTCAGTGGTCAAATCTTGCACCACCCTCTGTGTCCCCGTTTTGCATTCGTGCCTTATTCGAGTCTTCTCATGCAAACCTGTGGCCATTTTAACTGTGGGAAAAAGCTATAGACGGAACGTGCAACTGGAACTCCACTCCTAACCAGCAGCTCCTTGTTTCTTGCCAATGTGACAAGAACGGCCGTACACGAACACTACCCCGCTGTGCAGCTGTCTTTGTCTCTCCGTCTGTGTGCAGGGAGTACAAGGACAGCGCCACCCTGGCTCAGCTGGTGCAGGACAAACTGGACGCCTACAAGGCCGACGACCCCACTATGGGAGAGGTGAGAGGTGCAA